GTAAAAAAAATATTAATAAACAAAAAATTTTATAACATTTTATGAACATAATTTTTTAAAACTACGTCATAGTTTTTAGTTTAAATGTTACCCGAAAGAAATATATATATTTATTTATTGTTGAAAATGTATTTATATTAAGTGGGGTTGAGATGAAGATGAGATATTCCGACCCTACTTATTTAACGGAGAAAAAATGTATCCACTTCTTCCCCCATTTTTCGTCTAAACGGGGTGAAAAATTGTACGAAAACGAAGAATATAATTTCTTTTCCGACCCCATCTAAACGGGAAATGTTTGAGGGACCTCGACCCTGCGGATAAAAGTGACATCTCGACGTCATATTATATTTTAATCCTTTTCTATTCATTTTAAATATTAAAACGTATTAATTAGCTCATCTTCGTTCCTTAATCCTAATTTAATTTTCTTAGATTTATTTTAACTCTAACATATTTACTGAAAAATATTATTCTAAATCTTTTTGGAAGGAAATTCAAAAAGAAAAAGTAAATTATGTTTGAAAATTGGAGTCCATTTTTAGATGCTCGTTAATGTCGAGTTGAATTTAGTTTTTTTGGGATAAAAGTAAGTTTCATATACACGTTTAACATCATAGTTAATTATTTTGTTTGAATCTCGACCTTTTTCCACGAACCAACATGTATTTTTTTAAGATGTTTAATCATTAGTCGTATAAAAACACGTTTAACTTTAAAGTATTTATGATTGATACATATCGTTAGTATAGGTAGTAATTATCGACTCTCTTTTTTAATCATCATATTCTCAAGATCACTCTCATTCGAATGTAGTTTCAGTTCATTCATGTACCTTTCGTTTACTTGTCCGCTTTGGCCTGTTACGTATCGCTGTCAGCCTCACGATTTCACACCCTTATAAGGAATGTTTCTTTCCTCTCTCCAACCGATATGATATCTCACAATCCACCCCCTTAGAGGCCAGCATCCTCGTTGGCACACTCCAGTGTCTGACTTTCTAATACCATTTGTAACAACCCTAGCCCACTGCTAACAGATATTGTCCGCTTTTGCCCGTTACATATCGCCGTTAGTCTCACGATTTTAAAACGCATATAATAGGGAGAGGTTTCCACACCTTTATAAGAAATGTTTTGTTCCCCTCTCCAACCTACACGAGATCTCACATCTCATTCCATAATTATTGTTCTAAAAAGAGATTATCCGAGATAACAAATCAACTTTAGCGTTGAGATTATACATTATCTTAAAAGTTAGCAAGTGCAAAATAAACCATTCTACATTATTATCGCAAATTTTGATATAAACAACAATCTTATTATAAATCATTGTTACTTGGTACGGTCATGATCTAATTTAATACGGTGACAATCATAGTCTATGCTAAAAACCATAGTTTATATTAAGATTGGTTTAAATGTGACAAATTATTAAAACTATGAGATAAAATTTGTAGTAATGTTGAAGAAACTCACTTTTATGAATTAAAGTAGGATTGAATATTAGCTTATAGTATAAAAAAAAAATAATAGTCAAATTATAAATGAGTAAATTAGGAAAGTTCTTTATGAAGGAAACTACTTTATTTTTGATAGGTAAGAAGGAATATTAGTTTTATTATATTAGGCTAAAAATATTCTTATATTATTATATTTTATCTTTTTAAGTTTTTTTTAATAATACCCTTAATTTTTTTAAAAAATTAATAATAAAAAATATATGTAATTATTGGTATTTTGCTTTAAAATTCCGAAAACTGTGGGATCCACGACGGTGTCGCAGTGATGCTCGTTTACCCTTGACTCCCGATACTTTGCATTGTTATGTGGTGCTTGTCTATCCATGACCTTCGACATCGTGCTGCATGTAGCACTTGTTTATCCTCGACCTACAACGTCTTTGTGTATCATGTTGTGTGGGGCTTGTTTATTTCTGACCTTAAGGCATTTAATGTTACCGAGTCTAATGATGTTTATTTACTCGTAAACATAGTGTTATGTGCAACCATTGTAATATTAGGGAGCATTGATAGAAATTTAAAAAAATTTAAACTTCTTGCATTATGGTCCTTTAAGTTTGGGTAATTGTAAACTCACCCCACATTGGCATATTGGGTTGAGATGGGAATGGGATCTCCGTGGCCATCACGAGTTCAACAGTATTAACAATAATTCAACGCGCTTAGTTCTTAATTACCTACTTTTCGTTTCTTAAGTGTAAGAGTCTAAGCTCACTGCTAGTAGATATTGTCCGTTTTTGTTAGTTATATATCGTCGTCAGTCTCTCAATTTTAAAACGCGCCTACTAGGGAGAGGTTTCCACACTAGGTGCTTCGTTCCTCTCTCTAACTGATGTGAGATCTCACATTAAAAGTGAAGATTATCCTTACAGACCAACACGAATTCTTTCATCATACATGCATTACATTCTTCTTATGGTTGGATAAGAGTCCCACGTCGGCTAATTTAGGGAATGATCATGGGTTTATAATCAAGGAATACTATCTTCATTAGTACGAGGCCTTTTGGGGAAGTCCAAAGTAAAGCCACGAGAAGTTATACTCAAAGTGGACAATATTATACCATTATAGAGAGTCGTGATTTCTAACATGGTATCAGAGTCGTGCCCTAAACTTAGCCATGTCAATAGATTGACAAATCCTCAAATGTCGAACAAAACGACCCACTTCTCACTTATTAGAATTTGACATCAGTTCATTCATGTACCTCTTATTTACTCGGGTATCGTAATCTATTTTCGGGTTGGAAGAGAGAAACGTGAAGGATTGTATGATGAACAGGAGGATTGAATAAATGAATGAATTGATGATGAAGATGCTGACACACAGAGCTTAAAATTTCAGAACTCCAAATTGAAGGACGGTCTGTGTTATTACATAGCTTTTGTGCTCATAATAGAAATTGTTGGGAAACCCAACAAAACCCCACCTTACTCTCAAACAAATTTTATTAATATAAACAAACATTATGTTTTTTTACCCTTTCTATATTTAATTAAATTTTAGAATCTCCAATCGACGTCTGATCCCACGATCCACCGCTCTTCAGGATTAAGCATCCTCGTTAGCACATCGCACGGTATTCATCCTCTTCGCGTTTTAAAATCTTGAAGGGAAGCCTGAAAGGAACGACTCACATGCTTTCTAAAGAAAGTGCACCTTGTTAGCATAGATAGTAAGTTTTAGTCATCTTATCATAACAATCGCTATTATCAGATGTGGTCTCAGTTCATTCATTCATGTATCTTTCATTGGCTCGTGATTCATTCATGTATCTTTCATTGGCTCGTGTCGTACGATCAACGTATGAAATCCAATATACAAACCCATTAACGTTATTCTCTTCTTAAGTAAATTTACAATTAATATTCCATGATTAGACCAAACAAGAGAAGGCAAGAGAGAGAAAAATTACAATAAAGAACATGAGATACTCAAAATCAAGCATCATTTAAGCAATGGATTTTTTTTAACCTAAATTTAGACAAGGATTTGATTACAACAAAAGGTAGATCCGTTAGAATCGAATAATGAAAGAGGTAAATAATAAATATTATTCTTTACCTATGGTAAAATTAAGAACAAATTTGAGAGTGAAAAAAAAAAAAAAGAATAAACATTTTAAGTAGGGATTTTTATGAAGTTAGTGTCAATGAATAGTCTAATTCCTTTTTTAATTTTTGGAGAAAAATAAAATTAATTTCTAAAAAAATAAATAGAAAAATAGGGGGGGTTTTCACGACATAATAAGGAATGTTTCGTTTCGTACACCGTTCAGTGTCTAGCTCTAATACCATTTGTAATAGCTGAAGCCCACCACTCGTTTTTGCTTGTTACATATCACCATCAACCTCAAGGTTTTAAAACACATTTAGTATGGTGAAGTTTTCACACCCTTACAAGAAATGCTTCGTTTCCACACACCGCTCGATATCTATCTCTAATACCATTTGTAACAGCTTAAACTCCCTGCTAGCAGATATTATCCACTTCGTTCTCGCACACGACTCAAATTTAGCTCAAATACCATTTATAAAAACCCAAGTTCATCGCTAGCAAATATTATACGTTTTAGCCCACACACACTTCAGTGTCTAGCTCTAATGTCATTTGTAACATCCCAAACTCACTACTAATATATATTATCCGTTTTAGCCCATTACATAACGTCATCAATCTCATAACTTTAAAACCCATTTGTTCCAAAAAAAAAAAAAATATCAGAAGATCTCATAAAAACTTGTAAAATAAGACTAATTAATTACACACCACCGACAGCCATATTTATAAAAAAAAAAAAATAATAATAATAATTACCAAATACATGATTATTTAATGGAATTTTGATAAGAAAAATATAATTTTAATTTTAGAGCAAAAAAAAAAAAAAAAAAAAAAAAAAAAAAAAAAAAAAAAA